AGTGGCATAGACGCGTACACCGATCTGTCAGGGGACCCACTCGTCCCCCCATCTTGCCTTTAGAGCTCTCTCTCTCTCGAGCCTCCACCGCCTATCACATCTACACATCCATATCTATCACTATACGATGGTTACCAACTCAGGCATCTACCTGTTCAGCACAACGGGCGGCATTTTTGTGGCTAATAAGGGCGCCAGTTTGCAGTCAGCGGTGACAGATCAGATCATAACAACGGCCATATGGTATTTTGCATTTACGCCATCATTGATGATAAGCTGGTTGAGAAGCCCCCGCACGTTACGCCTGCTGCCGTGGGTCTGATCGTCTTCATAGTTGTCGGCGCCTACACTGCCAATGCGAGTTCTGCTCTGGACCCAGCTCGTGACCTTGGCCCTCGCTTGATGCTACTTTCAACTTGTAAGACTACTGACGAAAATCTGTAAGTATATCAAATTAACGCTAACTCCTTTTAAGTCACAATAACAACTCCATTTATAGATTTTTCCTTAGATTTTGTAAGTCATGCGATATAAGTCAGAGTCTTTTTGGAAGGCTGTAGTCTCTATAGGAATTTTTTAAACGCTAAATGAAATACTTATCTCCTTTTTCCAAACAGCTTAGTTGAATGAAGCGAGCATATTATGCACTCTACCGTGAAAGGGATTTCCAAGTTATGGTCCACGAGGTAGCATGATGATTTTGACAAAAATTGGTTTTAGTCTGAGCGTATTAAAATTAGTAATTAATGCTCGTATTCTTAGACAGATTGCCACAGGTTTTTTATGGTCAAAGCAGTCAGGTATACTTCCATAGTTGTTGCTTGGTTTATAACTTTATTTAAGGACGAGAAGACCTATCCGGGAGACATAAATTGTTGAAGTTATAGATATCCATGAAAATATCTACCAGTGTTTAATGCAAATTCAACCATGCTGTTAATCCACTGCAGTAGTTAGTGAACCATAATGAAAATTGGGTGGCAACCTAATAATTCAGTATAATTTGTTCTGTAAAATGGAGACAAGCAGAACCTTTGAAGTCCCTATTGACCGATAGCTTCTGCCAAATCATACATATATTTCAGAGCAGTATACTTCTACCATATGAATCGTTGGCGTCTACAAATGTATGCCCATCAGGTAAAGTTTTATCAAGTCTTCTTTAAAATGCGTCAACGATGAACTGAGCACCGTTACGCCCAACTGAAAATTCATTTTCAACTTGAACTTTACAAGATTATTTACAGATTGGTGATGATGTAACTGTGGTCTCGTTCCCCGGGAAAAGAAAGGATGCAGTGTGAATTTGTTTCTATGTTTAGTGCTGTTATAGAACCTCTGTATCTTTTCACACCAAAATCCAGTCATACTTTCTGGTCACTTTTGCTTTATTTTTAGACTGGGGTCCGACGGCCTTTCAAGTTGACAACTACTACTTTTGGGTTCCGTTATTTATGCCTACTGTTGGTGCTGTGGTTGGAGCCACTTTGTACGAGTTACTCACTGGTATCCATATGGACAGAGAACCCCCGTATCTCGATGAGCCATAAAATCGATTAATGAATTACGATTATACTGGGTGTGATTAAGCCTCCTCAGAAGCCTTAGTGAGATCCCAATACAAACTGAAATGCTAAGATCAATAAAGATTATTCTTGATATGGCACCGTTCTCATTTTGTAATAAATGTCTGCGAACACTGTTCAGTGAGAACATTAAGTTCTTTAATTTTAACTAAGTGATTTGATTAGGTTTCTAAGATGTGGTAAGT